CAAACAAAACCAATTACTAGCAAGGACCTAAATGTAGCAAATCCTTGCCTTCAGCCTCCCTTAGACATGATCCCCAGGGCATTGACCTAGGTGCTGACTGGAAAATATGTTTTCAAGCCCATAGCAGACTAGTATCTAAATCAGTTTTGTTTCTTCAAGACAAATACCTATGACATATATGGAAGGTTCTATTACTACCTTTTTTGTCTTCTCAGTCTACCATTGGGAAACCATAAATGGCCCAGTATTAGTCGTATTCGTGGGGTGATACAAAAATAGGTGACTCCAGAGACACACTGAAGCTATTTCTAAATGTAAACCATTCTCATTGACTCCTCCACCCGACTGAGGGCCTCATCCTCTTCTTGGCCTAAATCTCTGAGTAGTGAATCTCCCAGGTTATGAGTGGCTCATCACATCATTTAAGTTTGTCAGTCAGTGGAAACCAGAGCTCCAAAGTCTCTGACCAGGGCTCTCCCTGGGGAAGCTATTAAAAAAGGAGGCAGCCCTGCCAAAGTTTCTCTCCAGCTGTCCTAACTGGCATGTGCAAGGGCATCTGCTTATCCTCAGGGCCTGGCATGAGGAGAGGGTCCTGGAAGGGTGCTCAAGAAGACTTTCTTCCCATTTGCTATGGCGAGCTGGCAGGAGAGGGAAACTAGTAAGAAAATGACAAGGAAACCAATGAGGGGTATCTTGAAACAGGTAAAATAGATGTTAACATTTCCCATTACCATTGGGAGCTGGGTTCTCTCTTGGGCCTGGGGGTCTAAGAATGATGGAGCAAAAAATACATTATATTTGGGGGCAAAAACATTTGGATTCCCATCCCAATTTGAACTTTGATATGTGAACTTAGTTTGTCCCATAATCTCTCTATGTTTTTCTTCTATAAAAATAAGGAAAAAACAGTCAGAACTGTTCCTGCTCTGCTTTGCCCTTGGGTAACCAGAAAACATGTGAAAGCATTTTGCAAACCTTCAAAGAAGATGGCAGGTAGTATTCTTTTTTTACTATAATGTTTATTTCTAACCACAGAACTGTCTCCCACGTTCCAATTCCATGAATCCAATTACTTATTTCTCAAAGCTTCCTGTGTTTGCTAGGTGTGCTGAGATACCCATCCAACACTGCCAGTAGCCAAATGGGGCCTGGCATGTCCAGAGATCTTAGTTACAACCTAGTCCTAGCTGTAGAAGTTTACTCCAGGGAGATGAACGTGTGTGTGTGTGTGTGTGTGTGTGTGTGTGTGTGTGTGTGTGTGTGTGTGTGTGTGTTTGCATGCTGGTTCTTCTGTGGCTTGAACTTATAGCTTGAGCACTTCCCTGAGCTTTTTTTTTTTTTTTGTACAAGGCTAATGCCCTACCACTTGAGCCACAGCTCTACTGTGACTATATGAATTTGGTGGTTAGTTGGAGATCAGGGTCTTTCAGGACTTTCCTGTCTGGCTTCTAATCATGATCCTCAAATCTCAGCCTTCTGAGTAGTTAGGATCATAGTCATGGGCCAATGGTATCTGGAGAACATTTTTTTCTATGACATTTCCAACCAATTTTTATCTGTCTAGTCCTCAATTAAGTTTTAAAAAGAGCAAATAAATACCCATCCCCTAAACTCTACTCATTCTGCCTCCATTTACTCACTGATGATCATGGCTACAAATTGTGGGACATCATTCTGGGTATTCTCTTACATTTCCCTGCCTGATTAGTCTCAATCTTTCTGTTCCACCTTACATTTTAGTGTCCCACAGATTGGACTCGAACCTAACTTAGTTTCCTTGTCCAGGGTATTTCTTGGTGTTCTCTTCTGTGAAGTAAGAATACATGATTTGCAGATCTTTCTGGAGTTCATTACGATGGTGCTTACCATATGCTAAGCACATGTTAGCCTACCTTCCAGCTTAGATGGAGGCCTCACTGATGTCCACAACGGGTAATCTTTCTCATTCCTACTTTTTACATCTTTTCCCTAGCCTTCTCTTTCCCCAACCCATTGTCAAGTCATGTGCATCTTTTACCAACCATCCTTCAAATGCACCTACCTTTGGCCTCTAAGAGTGATGCTTATTTCCTCTTTAAATGACATCTGAGGTACTGGACATTACCATTGCACACAGTTCATTTTCCTATGTGTTGTTTCTTGTGAATTGTCACATTTATCTCCCTTACACATCCTATTCATGTAAATAGTAGTTTTTAAGTGACAGAAAAGAATGGACAACCAACCACTTAACAAATAACTGAGATTTGAATCTACATAGAGCCCAAGGATGGTGATTTGGAAATCAGGAGATGATATAAACTCAAGAATAAAACACCATACACTCTTCACATTTTGTGTGCTGATTTTTTTAATGAACATTTTATAATCTTACAAAATAACTGGTTGTAGCTATTTTACGTTACAATACAGTAGATCAGCTCCTTTCACTATGTTTTTTTTTTTTTAAATCAAGCTATCCTGTTGGGTGCTAACTGACACAATAGTGATCACACAGAATAGATGAAGTGCCAAGTCCAATGCTGTATCATGGAGGAAAGGGAAGTAGAGAATCAAGCAGAGCTCTTTACTTCCTTTATTCATTTATTTTTTTCCAGGATCTGTCCATTCATGTCACTCTGACTTCTCACGTGTGCTTCTGATTGGAGGCTACCTGCTTAGCCAGCTCTCCCTGGGCAACCTTTGTACCAGAGCTTCTAATTACAAGGAAACAGAAGAAACAGAGGAGTGACCCTGAAACAACAACAAATAAAGACCCTCTGGGACAGGTTCTCAATGGCTCTATGGGGAGGTAAGAGTAGCAGAATGCAGACAACCCTCTGAAGCAAATGTGAGTTGTTATCTTGGGCTCTATAACATGGCTTTTTATTTTAACAGTGACCAGAATCGTTCAGAACCCTAGGGCCCAGGGACAAGGACTGAAAGACACTTGGACAGCCCTCAATCTAGGGGATTTTCAAATACTGCACAGTTTTGAGTTGTACATGTTGCCAACAGAGAAGCAACTATTTTTTAAATGAGGAAAGAAACACAGGTGTCCACTCTTACTCTTGGGAAGGGACTGAGCATAGACACATACTGGTGGACATCATGGGCTCCATAGTTCTCGTGAAGGCAGTATCCTTGCTGTGCTGGATCACATCCACCATAAGTACAACTCTGCCCAAGTCTCTGGATGGATGGTCTAAGATAGAGCTTGACACACATCCAGGAATTTGGATGTCCCCGTCTCTCCCCACAGGAAAACAATTTTACAATGTGCTTTGTGTTTTGTTTTTTTAAATAGAAAATCTAAAGCTTTCCATGTTCTTTTCCATATTAAAGCCTATCAGTATCCCAGAAATAAATGTTAATTGCCTTCCCAGGGCTACATAAGCAGAGTTTATGAAGTGAATTATACTTAGGTGATAGTTTCCTTTATGGTTAGCCACAGACAATAAGGGAATTTCAGATGGACAAACTCTGTTCTTTACCTAATAACTGTTGCTCTCATACCACATGCCTACAGATGAATGGATATATATGGCTATATTTTTGGTTTTTCATTCTACAATATTTTTCTTCATATATGATATTGGGGGGGGTCATAGGTTATTGTGGCACATATTATTTCCTTTTTGAAAAGCCATTGTTTCAGTGTTGATGGGAAGAGGCAAATAGCTGGTCAGCACAAAGAGCAGATGATGTGGAAAAGCTGAAGTTGAGCTCTAAGTTTGGTTCTTGGTCTCTATTAGAGAAGAAAGTGGGAGAGACATGACTCATGTCCTTTTTTAAGATGATGATAAGACAGGATGTTGAACAGAAACTGTTCCTTACTATCTCTAACTCAGAAACTATTTCAAGGAAAAAAAACTTAAATTGACCACATGCCAAAAAATTAATGAAGATGGAATGCATATGAACAGAAGCAAGGTTAAAATGGCCATGTCCTGTGTAATTCATCTGAACAAGAGGAAAGACAACAAAATGGATCCTAAATAGTTGAAATTCTTCCTTCTCCCCACAGAGTGTCACCCTTGTTCCATGTGTTTCCGTAATTTGCCCAACTTGATGCTATAGGTTTGCCCAGAGATGATGATATAGGTTGTGTTTCAATACAATTTATGTCAGCCGCTGCATTGCTCAAAGAATCCACTTTGGTCCTCTTTGGAGACTTGGAACAATGGCTGAATCTCTTTGTCTCGTTTCATCCCCTTAAACTCAAACTTGATTTCAGCCTGACCTCTCATCTCTCTTTCTTTGATCTTATTTGACCCCTTCCTTCCTGTCTTCCCACCTTAATCTCATCTCATTTCCCAAGTATTTTATCTCAGAAAATCAACAGTTGGTGATATGGCTGTGAGTGATGGACAGGGTTTGGACTTCTAACAAGGAAGGAGACCATCCACTAGATATGAAGAGTGTTTAAGTTCCTATCATCCTGGTATTTCGAGAATGAGCCCTAATAACAACTTTTTGACTGGCTGACTACCTGCCACCCACACTTTGAAGAGGTCCATATAGAAGTAGAGACAGTCCTGTCTTACCAACGCCAGCTGCACATTCTGAGAAATGGAGCAAACTTCATATGAAGTTTATGTGATACTTATAAATCATTGTCTAGATTTCCTGATCCATCACACCTCATTGTCCAGGTCTCTCTAAATTATTTTTCCAACCTGCATATCCTGTTAAGTGGGCTTGGCTTCCTGGTTATGAGAAGATGATCAGCTGACATGCTAGCATTGTGAATTCCATTTATTCTCCTCTCTTTTCCCACTTCCCACTCAACCTGCTAGTCTCTCTCCATAAAAAGATGGCAGAAAAACTGGTGTTTCTGTCCTCAAAGCCTCAGCATTAATTTTGGACATGAACTTCTCAGCAGCATATGTGGAACAATGGATAAATTTTTTAGCTTAGTAAACAGCAAAAAATATAATATTATAATATATTTATAGAATTATGTTTAAATACTCATAAAGAATTAATAACTAACCTTATGATTTAAGAGACTACACAAAAGAAAGGGCAAGGGCCAGTTTAGAGTAGACAGACCCTAAAAGATGTTAATCAGTTTGATACCAGTATTAACAAAGTGTCCTCGAAACTTCTCTTCTGATGTTTTGATATGGATCTACACATTGGGTGGGGCTGAGCAGATGACAGGGTGCAAATTGGGGAGTAGGTCAAAAGTTGAGGATAAGGTTGGGTAGAATAGAGATGGGGGAGGAGGGTGCTGTTTATTATATTTCTCCTTCCATTTTTAGCCAACTGATATTTCAAAGAAAGTTTGGTTTATAATTCTTCACTACTCAGGCTACTCAATATATTAGTTGGCACCTATAAGCATCCTCCTCTGTTTCTAAACCAGCCATCTTATAATCTGCCTCCACTACATGGCCTCTCTTCTTCATTTGCCCCTTGTTTCCTCTCTCTGGCTGCCTCCAGGGTAGAGGAGGTAGGAGCTTGATCCCACAATTACTGATTTTCTTCCGCCTTGGGGTCTCGGCAGGTGCATTCATCCTGGTCACAGTTAGCAGCAAATGGAATGACCTAGGGGAAAGAAAGGCAGGTTGAAACAACTCACTGTGTGTGTGTGTGTGTGTGTGTACCATGTTTCCTCCTTTTCAACAAGTTTGCCTTGGTCCAAGAAGAAGTAGAGAATTGTTTGTTAATATCATAGAGTTGCAATTAACACTTGCGTCTCACATTTATACATCATGTCATTTTAGACAAGATAATCACTCCTTGCTTGGCTTTTTGCTTATGTAAAGTGAGAGAGACAACAGACAGTGCTTGTGTGGTTAAAATAAACGGATGGTTTACATATATTGTCAGGCACCTATAATTAGTTTCTGTTAGAACCATTTCTAATATTCCCACTGATGTCTAATATTATTTTTGTTGCTGTCCTCAATATAACAAAATTCCTTAAAACATCAGGAAATATAAACACCAGTACTTCATATTTACTTGAAAGGCCAGAGGTTGAGTGACTTCATTTAGAGTAATGATAATTAAAGCTCAGAATCTACAGGCTAGCTCTCTGACTTTGACTCCTAGGTGTTCTCTAGGCATTGAGATCATCTTTGATGCCCTAAGAAGCATCATATTTTGTCTTACTTGAGTGCATGATATATTTTGGCTTGATTACCATCCTTCTACATAGTAATCCCTCTTCCATGCCAGAGATACTTCAGCAAAAGTTGGTCTGCTCCTGCTTACCTTGCTAGCAACAGATACACACCTCTTTTTGTTTACTCAAAAGTACCATCAAAGAGAACAGGACACTTTGGAAATATGATCAAAGTGGCTTGGTTTCTATGTTTTAATACCATGGAAAAGTACTGGGCATTGGCAATCAAATATGATTTTTATAGTACTAATTCCACATATACTTTCAGTGATGGTTGGACATCTAGGCTCGAGAATGGATGGGGCTGTTTGGGGAAATTTCCAAGCATATGTGCACATTTGATTCAAATGTGAGTTAGTAGCCAACGCAACAATCTTGATTGTTGTATATATTGGCCCCAGGCACTGAAATCCATGAACAGGTTTGCAGTGGGTGAGGTGGGCTTGTTTGCTTTCCTCCTAATTGGCCAGACCTTCCTGTGCAGGGACAGGTGCTTTGCCCCATTCCTCTCACAACTGAGAATCAAAACTAGCTAGATAAAAACTAGGTTTCTGACTTTCTACCCAAAGTCTTGATCTGTTGCTCTTTGCTCAGAATTTATTGTTTTGTTTTTTTTTAGACAAAAGAGGCACAGATTGGATAATCATGTGATAAATTCCTACGTGTTCTGCACTAAATAAATTAATACATATGTGTTGAGAATTATGCCCTGCATATTGTAGGGGATTAATAAATAATTGCAACAAAGAGAGTATTCAAGTCTGCTTAGAGATGATCACATTAGGCATGTAGAGACATGAAAGGAGAGAACACCGGCATATTTCTGATTCGTCAAGTTGGTTGGTCAAACAGCTTCAAACATCTTTGGAGTACTTAGATATTTACTTATAGCAGTACAAGATTTCAGCCTACTTAATTTTGCAGACTATCATCTAAGAATAATGAGTATAAAGCACATCAAGCAAAAGGCTACTGCTCAGGATAGGGGCCAAAGTATTGTGGGTGGCTTATAGGAGCCATTCATTCAACATGTACTTACCAATGGCCTATAAGGTGCTATCTAAGATTATTAGTTTAATTATGAAGATGGATATAAACAAAAGCGTTTTGTTGATGATCCAGCATTCTCAAGAGGAAGATATCATTATTATTCTGGCCTATAGAGTCACCTGGGGTGAGTATGAGACTTCCAGCCGCAAAATCTTTGGGCCACTGGATTGACAAATTAGTATCAGCGGTGAGAATACTGTTAAATGGCCAGTGAATATTTGGAATAAAGAGACACAATGTCACTATTTTCTCAAAGTATACACTAAATACCATGACCCTCAAGTTTAGAACCTCTAGTATTCGTTCATCATAAACCATAAAGGAGAATCACCCACGTCCTGGAATCTCCTTGTTTTCCCCTGAGTCCTAAGGGCTCTTACCTACCTTCTTGGAGGAGAGTGTGGAAGAGCAGCAGTCACCTCCATCATAGTGGCAGTAGGCACGGTTGTTGATAGTGTCACACCAACCATCTGCTTGAAAAGGCTGTTGAGACAGAGCCAGAGGTCTCTAAGCAGCTTTCCTAGACCTCTTTTTCTTTCTCACTCACCCTCCCCACCCTCCAATCCAATCTGTAGAATTCTAGACAGTATGGGAGAGTACCCAAGGGCAGGACACATTCTCAAGAAGCTGAAAAACCTTGAAGTAAGAAAACTAGGTCTCAGGAATTGCCCAATGTTACATCAGATTCTGGCCTAGTTTAAGGTCTGGGATGGGTGGTTAAACTCTTTGACCAATCATTTTGCTTTCTTGAAGTAACTGGTTTTTACAGTTATATAGATTACAAACAGTCTCACACATCAGAACTCTGACCACCTTCAGAAAAAGCCAGAGTTCTAGGCAAGATTGGTTTTAAAACTCCTATGTTATTAGATGTGTAAAGATGATAAAAATCTCTCCAGGTCCCACAGCCAGGGTGAAACAGAATTTGGTTTTAGTTGTCATATGCTTTGGCTTTGCATTGCTTCTATTAAGCTAAAACCTCCAGCCCTTCTCCTGGTACACTGAAGTATTTTTATTATTAATTTATTATTTAATTATTTAATTTATTATTAATTATGAGAATACCATACAGAGGGGTTACAATTACATGAGCAAGGTAATGAGTACATTTCTTATCAAGCATTGTTGCCTCCTCCTTTGTTTCCCCTTCCCATCTCTGCCCTCCCTTCTCTCTCCCTCCTCCCCACCAAAGTTGTAAAGTTCATTTTTCAACATAGCATCTTGTACATTTCATTGTTGCAATGGGTCCACCTGTAAAGTCTTTATTTAAAAGTATTTGGAGGCTACAAAGACTCAATTGGTGGTTGTCCAAAGAGCAGCTGTCTGAAAATTGAAGACACCAGGGTTGAAAATGGAATATTCCCACATATGCAGCCACTTGATGCACAGAAGCTAGTCCCATGGTCAGACTAGAGAGAACTAAGATTCTTCTTATTGCTGCCAGCTAATAGGAACCAAAGTGGGAAAGGGGTCCAGACTAAACCAGAGCTAACCAGCTGTTTCACCCCAAAAGAGAATGTGTGATAAGAACAGCAGTTAAAAAATAGTTCCGTGGGACTAGGAATGTAGTTTAGTGGTAGAGTGATTGTCTAGCATGCACGAAGCCGTGGGTTTGTTTCCTCAGTACCACATAAACAGAAAAGGCTGGAAGTGGCTCAAGCAGTAGGTGCTAGTTTTGAGCACAAACAAGCTCAGAGACAGTGTCTAGGCTGTGAGTTCAAGCCACAGAACTGGCAAAAATTAGCTTAGGGGCTCAATACATTGCTTTTACACAGTCAGAGCTATCTCTGAAGAGAAACATGGTCCTATTTTGTCCAGGAGGTTCTATCAGCCAGTGCATGTCTTCGAGAACGTTAGCTGATCACCATTCTGAGCAAATGCCCAAATGCAAAGGCTTAGGAAGGGTCTTAGGGTCAAACCCCAGAATGTAGAGTTCTGAGGTTACTTTCTAGTTTATATGTTCCATTCACTTTCTCTTCTCTGCTCTCCTGGAATGTCAAAGAGAAAGATTATTTCCTAGTACACTGGGCTTTGATGAGATAGACCACTCAACTCAAAATGGCCATTAAATAATTTTTAGCAATTGAGTTACATCAGAACAAGCGCATCCAAGTTATTACTTCAATGCTTGATTTATTCTATGGGGTCCTGAAGTCATTTGAATATCCCATTCCAGCTGTGTACCAGTTTGCCAACCACTGGAAAGCTGCTACTTGTGGGTGGATCTCAACTCAACAGCTGTCCCCCAGCTGTACAGCAATATCTATTAGGAGGAAGAAGCAAAATGAATTGTTTTCAACTCAGGCTTCACTGGAATAAAAGATTTCAAGATGAGCATATGTCTTTAATACTTGAGCCATTTACCCTGGCTTTAGAGAACTTGGAATAACTATACAGTCAGGACTTGGGTCAAAAATTGCAGCCAAATGATCAGAGATGAAATACAAACTAGTGCATCCTTCGCACCTATGGGTTCTCTGGGAGGACCACCTACAACTTCTGAGGTTTCCCAGAGTTTATTTTCTCTTTTACAAATATGTTGGGAGTGTCTTTGACACATCCAACATGACATCTGTTACTTTCCTTCCAACCTTGACTCACTGGCAAAACTTCATCCCTCCTTCCTTTCTTTTCCATGTTATTATCTATAAAAGTCCAAAGGAGCTCCCCAAATAACATGTTCTTATATATAGCAATATGCTCTTCCTAAGGCATTACTAAAGGTATCCTAGATATCTTTTCATAAGGACAGCCTACACTTTGAATAAGTTTAGTAAATAATCCTGGATAAGCTTTCTTTGCAGAGTTTACTGCAGGAATGCTTTTCATCTCAACAACTCTAGGGAAGACAAGTCAAAAAGCAATCACAGCCTAGGTGACCTGCTCAAGGTCCCACTGAGCTTTTATTGTGAGGCCCTCAAATAACATCCTGAAGCTCCCTCCTTCTTTCCTTCTCTTTAAGGATCATCAGGGAAGAGAAAAGGATTTATAAAAGAGACAGAAATATAGAGAAAAGATCAAAAAGTCCCAAGTGTCTACTGCACTATATACCTATTAGGATTAATTGATCCCCACCCTTGAACCTGCCAAAAACAACCACTCCACCCTCAACAAATAGAGTCTCTTATGGCAACATGGGCCTGGGAAGCCCAGCAGCTTGAACCCAAAGTTACAATGGGGGGAAAAATAGGAAGGGAAAAGTGAGTAATTGATCTAAAATTTGAAAGTATCTGAAGGCTGAATGTAAAGGAGATTTTAAATCTTAGGACTTAAAGGTGTTGGCCTCAGGTCATGTCTCCTCTTTCAGGAAAGATTCCTGAGAGAGGATATCAGGCTTGGTTTCTAAGCCCATCGTGATGGGGCTGAATTTCACCATTCACTAGTGAACCTCACTTACCCTGTAACAACAGAAAATGATGTTCCATGAAAGTCTACTTTTCAAATTCCCTAAAGGAATAAACTGCTTACTCTCATTGTATCTATGCTGATGAAAAGAAAACAAAACACTCCTTATGCGTGTTTATTTGACATGAAACTACTTACAGAGTAAAGAAGTCACCAACATGAATATTTGTAATTTTCATTATACTAGAAGGTGAGGTTGATAAATGTGTAGAGACCAACATGTGCTCACATACACACACAAACACACATACATGCATCATACACAGACACACACAGGCACATACATAGACATATATGCAGATATACACACGCAACCTGGGACTTATCTTTGAGGCGAAAATTTTAAGCCCTTAGAATTAGCAAAAGTGCCAGGTACCAGTGGCTCATGCCTAACTACTCAGAAGGCTGAGATCTGAGGATCATGGTTCAAAACTAGCCTGTGCAGTAAAATCCATGAGACTCTTTTTCTCTAATATACTACTCAAAAAAAGCCAGAAGTGATGCTGTGGCTCAAGAAATAGAGCGCTCACCTTGTGCAAAAGAAGCTCAGGGACAGCACCCATGCCCAGAGTTTAAGCCCCAGGATAGGCAAGAAAAAAAAAGAATTTAGGAAAAATAAATAAATCAGACTGCCTGGATTAGTCTTCTTATAATGTATAAGCTTTACACCTACTTTAGGTGTTACTCTAAAGCTCATGCTGCCAGCTTCCTGGTGGTAGTTGTACTCTGAGAAATTGAGATGTCAAAATAACTGGCTATAGAAGAGGAAGTAAAAAGAAGAAAGAATGTTATTCTATATGACCTCTACTACCTTGGAAATTACCTAAGATGAACATAATTTCCTATTTATGTATAATTGTTATTATTATAGGAAAGAACTCTTACGATAGGATGAGTTCGACCCCTCTCTGTCCAACGGCATTTCCTATTTCTTTTTTTGCACATTTTTTTATCGTAAAAATTTTGTACAGAGGGGTTACAGTTACATGAGCAAGGTAGTGAGTACATTTCCTATTGAGCATTGTTGCCTCCTCCTTTGTTTTCCCCCTACCATCCCTTCCCTCCCATCTCCACAACTCCCCCCCCCCCGACACACACGGTGAAGTTGTAAAGTTCATTTTCAACATAGTGTTTTGTATATCTCATTGTTACAATGGGTCAACCCATTTAAGCATTTTATTTTTTCCCTTCCCTTCCCCAAGCTGGAGAAGTATATATACAAGATGCAGGGCACTGACATCAGGGAGGAACATACAAAGAAACAAAGATATCACATGGTGCAATAGCAAGAAAGAAAAAAGATATTTGTGTCCCTATCTTAGGGTTCATTTCGCTTAACATCATCTTATCTGGTCATATGTACGTAGCTTTTGCCCTTTTCGGCTTGTCCTTCACATGTACTAGTTATTGCAAATAAGGGAAACCATGGGAACTATGTTTCCCCTCTCTGTCCAATGGCATTTCCTATTTCTTATGGTTACCATAGTGACAGCCTTGGCGATGGTGGCGCTCTCTTTTCTGTGCTTGTAGTTAGCCACGCAGTTGGTCAATATTCTTTACTCTCTATCAGTATCCACAGCAGGTACTATTATAAGGATAAAGAAAGAGTTTAAACATGGTTCTAGCCCTTGAGGAAACCCACTGACCTCTATCTTAGCTGAGTATAGTAGCTCAGTGTTAACATTAAGACACAAACATGAGAAAAGGATCTAACCTACATTTCATAAGTAGGGTCCTGAGGGCTCTCTTCCGTAGAATAGTGGCAGGAAAGAATTCCTCACATAATAACCAGTTTGCCTCTTCTCTTTTTCTTTCTCTGCCCCTTTCCTTTTTTCTCAGCTGGGTACAAGTGGCTCATGTTTATAGTCCTAGCTACTCAGAAGGCTGAGATCTGAGGATTGTGGTTCAAAGCCAGTTGAGGCAGAAAATCCCTGTGAAACTGGAAGTGGTCCCATGGCTCCAGTGGTAGAGCGCTAGCCTTGAACACAACAGAGGCTCAGGGATAGCACCCAGGCCCTGAGTTTAAGCCTTACAACTGACAATAATAATAATAAAGATATGGATTTTAAAAAGGTACT